GGAGGCAGCTTGCTGCTTTATTTTTTTTTTTTTTGTTCCTTCTTTTCTTTTTAAGAAAAGTGAGGACGCTTTAAAAAACTTTACAGTAGTTTAGTTTGTAACAATTCTATATTATGTCAGAGTAGAAATGGAAGCTTCAAGTATACTGTGCCTGACGGTACAAATCCATACACTTTGAGAACTAAAATGCCAGTAGTCATGGGTGTAGCAGTACAGTTCCTGGTGTTGGATTTCTATACCATGCATCCTTTGTCTAGAGCAGTTGTCAAACATGGCTCGTAGAGTGCTGAACTTTAGCCTACAGAACCATTTTCCCTGGTTTCTAGGGCCCCCCAAAGGGGTGGTGGTAGAGCCTACAGCGGAACTCGGTCCCTGCTGCTGAAGATTGTCCCCCAATGGTGCCCCATAGCCCTGAAGACAGCTGTGCTGACCCAGTATTGCTTGCCCCACTGCCACTTGCCCTGGCACTCCTGAGTCTGGCCTGCAAGGAGTCCCATGAGCCAGATCAGTGCAAGGTTAGCTTTGATGTCATTGGCCTGCAGTACAAGTGGATCAAGGTGCTAGTGCTTGTCCTTGTTAGATGGCAGGGGGTTGTTCAAAACTCTGCTATCCTGGTAGAAAAAGTCAAGAACAGAATTGCTGCTGTCAAACCATGGTAGTCACATGAACAAATCTAACTTCTTAAGGAAAGAATTGTAACCTTAAATATTAGGATTCTTGATTCTGAGTAGCAAGCCATGCTTTTTCAGCAATTTAATAGCTCCCTTGCATTGTGATATTTTTACCCTTGTGAGCTACTTCTTATTTGGAATCCTTGGTTTCCATGTTCCTTACCTTCTAATTAATACTGGCCCACTTTAAATTTGGGTTTTAGGCATTTGTGAATCAGTACTGGTACTGAGGCTAGTTTTGTCACAGCGGTATGTTGAGTCCCAGTATTAGTGCAGTGATGTTATGAGGCATCTAGCTTCTTCTCAGGGTCCTTATTTTTTTGAAGGATTCCAGATGATTTTGAACATACTCAGGATCACTAATCCTGAAGCAGGGCGAACATAACTGTTAATTCTTGCAAGAAAACTTTCTACCTTGTTTCTGCATGCTTCATGCTCATTTTAGATGAGGCGGTTTCCATTGCTGCCTGTCTTGCCTCCTTGTTTGTGTGTTTTTTATAAAGACTGATGCAATTTTGCATAGGTTCTCTAACTGTTGCCATATCTTCTGTGCTCTGCTGTTGACTAATTGAAGTAACCTTGGAGTTTAATGCAAATAATATTTAACACTCTAGGCCAGAGGTTGGCAACTAGTGGGCTGGATCTGGCCTGTGAGGAGACTTTCCATCTGGCCTGCCAAGCTTAGATGAAGATGATGGGTAGAGTGGGTAAGAAGCAACAGTTCACCTCTGGATTGAGCTGCGTTGCTCTGGCCTGCCATGGCTTAAACATTGCTAACCCCTGTTCTAGACAAATATTTACTAATCCTCTGCTATATTCCTATATGTGAATTGTTATGCATATCATTGATATTGAACAAACTGTACATTTATGTACTCCTTTTTTTAGGAACAAATTAACCGCATGTCATACAATGAAAAATCTGACATCTGGTCTCTAGGATGCTTGCTGTATGAATTGTGTGCGCTCTCGTAAGTATAACAAACTGATATAAGAGGACTGGGCTCCTCACGGCCATCTTAGCATGAGAAGCTGAATCTGACACTGCCAAGTTTTGTTTGATCTTGAAACCAAGCAAGTTGTTTTCTAGAAATGTCTCTAAACTTTTTCTTCAGCAAAACAAAACTGTTACACTGTTTGAAATTCTGGTACTGCAGTGAATCTCCTGCTTAGGAGCCTTAAAAAAAAAAAAAAAAAAAAA